TTTTGACTATTCTTTCCCATGTTCTCTCGTGATTTCCACTCTAAAAAAAATGCTTGGTCATTGCAAGTTGGTGACCATATCAATTCTTTAGTTTCTCTTTTCGCTCTCCCGATCCATACATAGATATTGTATTCATGAAATCCAACCCTTAATTCTCCTTCCAAGCTTGTTGAATCAATCGAACCTACTACAGAGGCGGCATCAACATCACTGTTCCCACCGGCAGTCCGTTTGGTTGACCACTGAGAGTTGACTGATACGGTAAGGCAGTGTCCCGACATGTGGATTTTGCAGATGGGGCGTGTCGAGCAGTCATCGGCTAATATCCGTTGTCCGAATCTTATCTGATCGCACCCCAACAGGGCGCATCAAACGAACCACATCGCATCGTCCCCTCCACGTTTGTGTTGGTGGCAGAGGGATCGGTTCCGTGCGCGTGGCATTACTGACGTGAGCGTTGGCCAGCAAAGGATCTTGTGGGAGTAGATGCGATCCAACAAAAATCTTACCCCTCGTGCGCAACAGCAACGCCTTTCCTCTTCATTCTATTTGTAGATCGAAGTAACAAGTGGCAGTTATCGACATCGATCCGAGCGTGAATCCGAAGCTCCCACCGTCCACCCCCAACAACCGAATCCATGTCTAATCCAACAAGGCACGCGTTGTTGCTCTCAAATCTCAGTGCCATCCCGTAGCATCTCAGGGTAGCCCGAGGAGGAGGACGAGAGATGGGCGTCCCCTGTGACGACGCGGTGGTCATCCAGGCGCCGGAGGCTGCCGGCGGCCCGAGCGTGATCAGCGTCAGCTGCCCCGACAAGACCGGCCTTGGCTGCGACTTCTGCCGCGTCATCCTCTTCTTCGGGCTAAGCATCCGGCGCGGAGGTAAGCCTCCGACCGGGCCCCTATTGCCGTCTTGATGCTGAAAATTGGATCTTTGGGTGACCTATATGCGCGGGCTTGGCGGTGGCTGCTGTGGTTTCTGCAGATGTGAGCACGGATGGGAAGTGGTGCTACGTCGTGTTTTGGGTGGAAGAGAGGGGCGGACGACCGACGCCGTGGGGGCTGCTGAAGAAGCGGCTGCTGGCGGCGTGCCCTGCCGTGTCGGTGGCCTCCGGGCTGCACAATTTCTACTACGGCCCGCAGGAGTTGATGCTGGCTGAGCGGCCACCGCAAGTCTTCCTCCTCAAGTTCTCTTGCTATGATCGGATGGGTCTCTTGCATGGTAGCAACTCCATTTCTTATCTCCTTTTAGTGTTGTAATGGCTTTGTTGCTTAATTAGCTATTCAGTTCTTGTCGTCTATGAGATTTTTGCTAGTTTGACGTTCTTTTGAGAAGACAAGTTGGAATTTGGCTGTGTTAGTGATCACGTACAGTCTCTTCTCCCACTTAAAATCCACATGATTTCTCTCTCTCTCTCTCTCTCTCTCTCTCTCTCTCTCTCTTCTTTGATCTTTCACTGAACAAGCAAAGGAAGTTCATAATTTGTCTGCAACTCTTACATCCATTATTAGCTCCTCATTCTCAGGTGTGCGTATACTGTGTTTCAGGATTATATCCATCAGTTGAAGACTTGATTATTGATCATGTTCTTGGAAGCCTTTAGCTTCTCACTAACAGTGCTTGTGGCCTTTGGCAGATGTGACACAGGTTCTCTGTGATCTGGAACTCATAATAAGGAGGGTGAAAGTTTCGACCACTCCAGATGGAAGGGTTATGGACCTCTTTTTTATCAGTGACACAAGGTTGGCTAATGCATCTACTTGGTACCTTTCAGCGATTCTCTTTCTAATTTGCATAAATTATGCTTCTCTGATCCCCATAGTTGTACCACACTCTTAAATCAGAGCAAGTGAAGTTCAATCATCAAAGTTTCCTGCTGACCAGTCATGTTAATATTATTCTTTCTAAGAGATGAAATTGACTGTGCTGAAGATTGGCCCGCCGTGGTTCCGATTTCATTAGATGTTCTTCGAAGTTAGTTCTTAGAAAGGATATCCAGTAAAAGCAACATATTTCATTAACACTATCTGAAGGAATTCACTTCTGCTAACCTGTTTGCATGTGTTGGTTCTATATGAAGATAGTGTTTGCTTATGATATGTAAACTCTGTTGTTTCGATGTGGCCTTTGTTTGTCGTCACTGATGATATGCTCTCTGATCTTTTCTGGGGGTTAGCTTGAATTTTCATTGATCTGATGGAAAATTAATAGAAAAATTAAGAAGCAAGACCTGAATTTCAAACGTATGAAAAGTTCCATATAAATGAATTAAAGCCAGACCTTATATTTATATTAGATGTTGGCTCACAACTTATGAACTTAAGCAGGTACCTTGGTTAATATTATCTTTAAAACTCGAAATATTCTTGGATTTAGAGCCCTTTGCCAGACTTCTAAATAGCTTAGCCCATGATCAATCCGTTGTTCTGCTGTTCTAAACATTTATTTTGCTTCAGGGAACTCCTGCATACAAAAGGAAGAAAGGAAGAGACATGCGAACAATTGCGAGCTGTTTTAGGGGATTCCATGGCAAATTGTGAGATCGAACCAGCCAATGCCCAGATTGTTGAGTGCCTACAAGCTTCGCCATTTCTACCTCCTGCAATCACAGAAGAATTGTTCAATTTGGAGCTTCCTGAAGAATCTCCAGTTGGATCTCCTTCCTCACCTAGTAACATCTCTGTGAAAATGGACAACTCCCTCAGCCCCAGTCACACACTTATTCAGATCCTTGGTTGTGACCACAAAGGCCTCCTCTATGACATAATGAGGACTCTAAAGGATTATAACATCCAGGTAATAACATTAAACAAGCAAGCCAAAAGATAAAAGGAAGAATGTTTTTGCTCGTTGATTTCAGTTATGGTTATTCTTTTCCCAAAAAGAAGATGATGCTCTTCTATGCATTATGCATTTTCTTTGAATGATGTAATTTACGTAGCTCATTCTATGTACATTATCAGATGCTCTAATAGTGGCCTTTATCACAGCATAATTGTCTAAATTGTTGATTTTCCCCGTAACTTGTTACATTTTAAACTTGTCACATGTTATGTGCACTTTAATTCTTTGTTTCACATTAAGATATATCTGCATCCATGATTTGTTTCCTGGCATCACATAAAAGGTTCTCTGATCTCCGAACATGTAGAAGTTGAATGTTTTGAATGTTCTCACATGATACTTGCTAGGTATCCTACGGCCGAGTCTATGCAAGCCGCAATGGAAGTTGTGAGATCGACTTGTTCGTGATGCAAATGGATGGGAAGAAGATTCTTGATCCAAACAAGCAGAGAGCCGTGTGTTCACGCTTGAGAATGGAACTATTCCATCCCCTCCGAGTTGCTGTAATGAAACGTGGCCCTGATATGGAGCTTCTCGTCGCCAATCCCGTTGAGCTATCTGGCAAAGGCCGCCCTCTTGTGTTCTACGACATCACTCTCGCTCTCAAAATTCTTCAAATACGCATCTTTTTGGTAAGTGTTTTTTCTAATCATCTGTGCATAGCCACAGTCATTTTCTCATCAAGCATGGAACCTCCACTAGGAGGGATGGCCATCAACAATTAGGTTATACTTCAATGTTGTTGCAAAATTTTGCTTCTTATAAAACCTTACAAATCTCTGGCATCTTTCTGAATTCAACTTGCACTAAGCTCATACCTATAAAGTTAACTTTCACTGCTAACTAAATTATGCTCTTTGGAATTCTCAGGCTGAGATCGGGAGGCATGTCATTGGCGATAGAGAGTGGGAAGTCTATAGATTTCTCCTTTCTGATGGTTTCGAGTCATGTGCATCGCAGGACAAGATTGTAGAGGGGGTCACCAAGATGTTGATGGGCTGGGAGTAATTGGCTCACCCAACTCAGTTGCTCAGGTTCTTGCATGTTTGAAATCATGGCACGATCAAGAATCTCTATACTAAGCTTCTTTTGTACAGTGCTTAGTGTATGTTTGTCCGCGGACTAGAAGATGTGAAATCAAAATAGTAAGCTAAATTGTCTCTCTCAAAATTTTTTCCCTTTTCACTTGTGTATAGGATTTTACACAAATTATATATCTACTTTGTTCCTTCGACTGATATTATTGTGCCTTCAAAGGATCGGGTTCTCAAGGATGAAATGTTCATCGGCTTCTCTACGCATAGAAAGAAAAAGATATTCGATACCGACTTCTCTATGTTTCGACATGCATCCTGTATTACAAATACTTCTTTGTGCTGCAGTTGTATTCAAGTTTATGCTGATAAATGCATTCTCATAATCTTGAAGATAATAAAACTCGAGACATTTCTTCTGCTTGCTTTCAGGATTTTGGTCTGTTGATTGTGTTACTCAACCTGTGCAATCATATCTGTGATCCTAAATGCTGTTAAGATCCAACAGGTTTGCAGGCCTCATGACTGAAGGGAAGTTTTACCCTGCACTGAAGTTTTCTCTGGTTCAGCAACTCAAATACTTGTTGATCATTTCCCATCAATCATCTCTGGAACAGATGATGAAGCAACACAATGGCTAGAATTATATTTTAATTTGATTATTGCATTTAAGAAACCAAACGGGTCGGATCCATGTCCGAACGAAAGCTACGCATACTCCGAGTTTGCAGCACGAATCTAAAAGCTCAGTCGCGTAAATTAAGCATTTCAGCATAAATGCCATCTAATTTTTTATCCCAACCAAGCACTTCTATCGCCACTCTGATTTCTCACGCGACTAAGTCACGTCCGGGTGTCTCACAAGGGGACCCGCAACGTTCTTAGAATGGAAATTCGCCACGCACTCAGCGAGTCTGTTTTGAGAGTCGACGAAAGTGACGACATGCTACCCTCTCTCTCTTGAGTTTATTCAATTTCTGATTACCGTTTCACCTGCATTTTAATAGGTGGAAAACATGGGACCGCTATGGGACCCTTGGCATGTCGAATAATAAGACAGGTACACGGGAGGATGGCAGTACTTTTTGTTCTTAGCACCTGGTTCCTCCGGGAGAGGAAGAGAGCTGCCACTCCCAAACCCTTCGTTTCCGCTTTTCTTAGCTTTCCGTTGTCGCTCCTATCTCCTGCTTCGCTCGCGTTTTCGAATTATTCCTCGAATTCTTCTGTCGTCTCGATCCGTGCGGCCTCATATCCTCTTCTAGGGTTCCTACCTCTCTCGCCCGTCTTTGCTCTCCTCCACGGCGAGCAGGAGCACAGAAAGTGAGATCGGTGGCGCAGCGAGCGGCCAGTCCGCGGAAGACTTGCGAGAGAAGAAGGGAAATCGCTTTCTTCGTGTTGCTATCATGTAGAAGTTTGATAATTGAGTGGGAATTGAAGGGATTCGCGAGGAGTTTGATCCGCGAATCCCTTGAGAATCTCCATTAGCGTTTGCTTCGTTATCGTGCTCCAAGTGGCTCCGCCCGACCTAACTGAGTAAGAAGAATCCAATTAACATCAGGAGTGGTATATCTGCTATAAAACCTGGTTCTCTCATTTACCAAGAAGCCAAGAGACACATTGCTGAGATGCTAGATACTGGAGATCAAAGAGCTAGCTTGCCAACAACAGCCCATGTCTCAGAATCTTTGGGTAGTCTGCTTTCTACTCCAGAGTACAATGCATTATCTCCAAAAGTGAGTCATGGAAGTGACAAGGAGCTTGTGTTGCCATACGAAGAGACAGGATCACTCCCTATGCAACAGTTCAATCAAGATGATGCAACCAGTTCCTTAAGCTTGTCGAAACAAAGCTTTCAGGTCTCACCTCACTTTGGCAATCAAACTGATGTACCGATGCTTCACTTGAAAGCTGAGATCATTGAAAACCAGGAGCAGCAGGGATTGTGTATTGGATCAGAACTTAACCATGAAGGTAACTTTATATATGTAACTAAACACCTTTTAGATGATTTCCTATGATTTCCTATGCTTTCTCCTGGAATGAACTCTGTCAAATCTTTTTTAGCAAGTGTACAAAATGTGGATGCAGTCAGAATAAGCAAGCCTCCAGTGTGATGTGTCTTTGGAGCCAAAGAGCAATGACAAAGATTTAGTAAGCGATATGTCACTTGTTTCTTTCTGTATGAGAAGTTTCTTCTTCCTCAGATATGATGGTTATGGCTATTCTTTCGACTAGGTTTCATTGGAGGTGGAATCACACACTGCAACTTATTCTGGATCACCAGGATCCCTTAGAGAAATCTTGGAGACTCATGAAAGCACTATTGGCAAGCCAGAGGGATTAAGATCATGTTTATGTTGACAAGTTTATCTCAGGAGAATTCACTAGTTGTAAATTCAGAGCTTCGGAGCATTTTATGACTGACACATTCCGATGCACATCTCTTGTTTATCCTATTCCACATGAATCAACTGATATTTTTCTCATTTGCAGCTGTGATCCCAACACTGGATACAAGAGCTCAAGCTACGTTCAACTATGTTAAAGCCGTGATCGAAGCCTCAGGGTTGAGCACTATTGACTTTTCAGAGAGATGCCATTTGGGAGATGAATTGCTTGCCCGATCCTTGTTTGATGAAGTAGAAATTTCAAGTTCTCCACAGATAGATGATCCAAAGCTTCTCTTTGATTGCTGCATCAATGAAGCCTCTGAAGAGATCTTCAAATGCCCCCCTTGGGTGTCTTTGAACACATCCAATGTTCAGCAGGCTCCGGTAGCACAATGCTTAATTCGAGAAGTCAGTAGGGGAATCGAAAGGCAAATTCCCATGCACTTGCCAAACTCATTAGATCAGATAGTAACAAAGGACTTGGGGAGTGGAAGCTGGTTGGACCTTCAGTTCGAAATTGAGAACATCGTCGACAAGATACGGGACACTCTCCCTCCTTGATGATTCAGTGGACGAAACTATATTCGACATGTCGCTTGATCTCTGAGCTGGATGGTGATGCTCCTTGTCTTGCTCATGGTTTGATATGTATGTTCATCTCTATGGATACTTGTAGAAGTCCATTTCTACGGACATGAAAAGGAAGAATGCACATGCCTTCTACCTAATTGTTAATGCTCTGCTGAGAATTGGTGGAAATAATAGAGAATTTTGTGTGTTTCTCTTACATTTTACACCCAAATAGTGTGATTCTTTCTACTCTGGCTGAGAGTTTGCGTCACTTTTACACCCAAATTGGTGGCCCGCCTGACTCAAATGGGCCTGTCTCGAGGCCCACACTACTCTGCCATGTGGCCCATAAAAGATCCACATAAAGCCCGACCCCTATAACCGCAGCCTAAGGCCTATAAATGAACTGGACCTCCACCTCAGGCCCATAATGGCCCGATTCACGACCCACATAGGCCCAAAAGAGCCAACATATCTAATTTTATTAATTTTTTTTTATTTTGAATAAGTTTAAATGAATTTGGTTAATTTAGGGATATGTTAAGTGTGTCATATGTTGTCGTCACACGAAAAGAATATTTCTAACTTTGTTTCCTATATTGATTATGAAGAACCCAAAAAAAATATAAAATAAAGAAAAAGAAGGAAATAAGGATCTAGTTATAATAAAGAAAGGCTATTAAATGCCAAAAATAAAGATTATTTGACAAGATGAATTAAAAACCTACTTTCTCCAAATTAGGAAAAGAATAATTTCTTTGCTTAATATTCAAATTATTTAATGTTCTTCTTTGTTAATATTTTTGTCTTTTTCTTTTTTCAAGGCCTATAAAAAGGGGTTTGAAGGAAGTTCAGATAATTGAATACATATCTTTTTTTATATATTAATTTCAAAAGTTTCATAATTTAAGGATAAAAAGAAGAAAGCAAGCCAAGCGAATCTCGTAATTTCTTATTCTGGGTATAGTCTCAAATATCTTCTTTTATATTATTATTATTATTATTATTTTTTGGTTGTCTTGTCTCTCCTTCCTTTTCCTTTATTTTCAAATAAAATTCAGGACTCCTTTACTGATGGTTGAATGGTTTGGAGATTTATTTTTGTTCTTAGAGAAAGGGATTGGATTAGTTTAATCAATTTAATATATAATTATATATCCTAACACTTCAAAGCAAAGGAAAACAGCCTATTTCTTTGAAATTTATATTAATTCAGTCAGATAGGAGACTATCTGATACTTTGACATTGAGGTAATTTGTAGCAGAAGTAAGGATTCACATATTCAAAAATAATATCCATCTTAATATTTCTTTTTTGAAAATTAGGAACTGCTCTATATTGAGCTCAATTATGATTGTCTCAATTATAATTTTTATTATCTGTGCCTCTGTTGGGTTTAGCACCGAATAGAAAATTGGAAGTGACAAGGAGCTTGTGTTGCCATACGAAGAGACAGGATCTCTCCCCATGCAGCAGTTCCATCAAGAAGACGCAACCAGTTCCTTAGGCTTGATGAAACAAAGCTTGGAACTCTCACCTCACTCCTCTGGCAATCAAACTGGTGTTCTGATGCTTGACTCCAAAGCTGAGATCACTGAAAACCACATGCAGGAGGGATTATGTATTGGATCAGAACTTAACCTTGAAGGTATCTTTATATATGTTACTAAATGCCTTTTAGATGATTCCCTATGCTTTCTCCTGGCATGAACTGTGCCAAATCTTTCTCAGCGAGTGCACAAAATGTGGGCACGGCCGGAATAAGCAAGCTACTGCCTAACCCGTCCGATGTGCCTTTGGAGCCAAAGAGGAACGACGAAGATGCAGTAAGCTATATATATGTCACTTATTTCTTTCTGTATGAGAAGTTTCTTCTTCCTCAGACATGGTTATGCCTATTCTTTCGACTAGGTTTCATTGGAGGTGGAATCACACACTGCGACTCATTCTGGATCACCAGGATCCCTTAGAGAAATCATGGAGACTCCTGAAAGCACTACTGGTAAGCCAGAGCGATTAAGATCATGTTTATGTTGACAAGTTTATCTCAGGAGAATTCACCAGTTGTAAATTCAGAGCTTCGGAGCATTTTATGATTGACACATTCCGATGCACATCTCTTGTTTATCCTATTCACGTGAATCAACTGATATTTTTCTCGCTTGCAGCTGTGATCCCAACACTGGATACAGGAGCTCAAGCTCGGTTCAACTATGTTAAAGCCGTGATCGAAGCCTCAGGGTTGAGCACTATCGACTTTTCAGAGAGATGCCATTTGGGAGATCAATTGCTGGCCCGATCCTTGTTTGACGAAGTAGAAATTTCAAGTTCTCCACAGATAGACGATCCAAAGCTTCTCTTTGATTGCATCAATGAAGCCCTGGAAGAGATCTTCAAATGTCCTCCTTGGGTGTGTTTGAACACATCCAATGCTCAGCAGGCTCCGGTGGCACAAAGCTTAATCCGAGAAGTCAGTAGCAGAATCGAAAGGCAAATTTCCACGCACTTGCCAAACTCATTAGGTCAGATGGTGACAATGGACTTGGAGACTGGAAGCCGGTTGGACCTCCGGCCCGAAACTAAAAACATCGTCGACGAGATATGGGAAACTCTTCTGGATGATTTAGTGGACGAAACTATATTCGACTTGTGGCTCGATCACTCAGCTGGATGGTGATCCTCATTGTTTGATAGATGTCGAACAAATCCAGCAACGAGCTTGTAAAACTATGATACCTGTAGAAGTCCACTTCTCTTGACATGAAAACAAAGAATGCAACTGGCCAAACTTGAGATGTATATATAATAAGCTGAAACTTGTTATGTGACATTTAACTTCTGCACTTCAATTAAAATGCTTAAACTTGTATAACCTAATGCTTTTTGGATCCAAATAATCATAGGAATAAGTTTGTGTAGCCATCCAACCAGCCAGTATTCAACTCCCTCCATTTACCCAAAGAAATGAACTGTGAATGATATCTAAATATGCAACCAAAGAATCCAGATTGAGTCACAGATTGATCATGTTTTATTTTTTGATATACCATCTTTTTGGACTAATTTTATGTAATTATTTTATTTAGTATAAAATAATACATATATATTTAATTTTATTTTATTGTTGGTTCAATTGGAAATTGGAGAGTTAATTAAAAAGGGATCTTTTTTCGGTAGGAAATATCTCCAGAAATTGTCAACCAAATAGGAAGGGACAATATATATGTTCTGCAGAAGCCATGCACGACACAAATAGACAACATGTAGCAGTAACATATGGCCCTCGTTTTCAGGAGTAACGTAGCGCTTCAGTTCTACTCGGCCTCCTGGTCTCCGTACTCGTCGTCGTCCTCGTCGACCACCGCGTCCTGGTACTGCTGGTACTCGGACACGAGGTCGTTCATGTTGCTCTCGGCCTCGGTGAACTCCATCTCGTCCATGCCCTCGCCGGTGTACCAGTGGAGGAAGGCCTTGCGGCGGAACATGACGGTGAACTGCTCGGAGACGCGCCTGAACATCTCCTGGATGGAGGTGGAGTTGCCCATGAAGGTGGCGGACATGGCGAGGCCGGTGGGGGGGATGTCGCAGACGCTGGACTTGACGTTGTTGGGGATCCACTCCACGAAGTAGGAGGAGTTCTTGTTCTGGACCGAGATCATCTGCTCATCCACCTCCTTGGTGCTCATCTTGCCGCGGAACATGGCGGACGCGGTGAGGTAGCGGCCGTGGCGTGGGTCGGCGGCGCACATCATGTTCTTGGCGTCCCACATCTGCTGGGTGAGCTCGGGGATGCTGAGGGCGCGGTACTGCTGCGACCCGCGGGAGGTCAGCGGGGTGAAGCCTACCATGAAGAAGTGGAGGCGGGGGAAGGGAATGAGGTTGACGGCCAGCTTTCGGAGGTCGGAATTGAGCTGCCCCGGGAAGCGCAGGCAGCACGTCACGCCACTCATGGTGGTGGAGATGAGGTGGTTCAGATCCCCAACTGTGTTTATCATATAGAACTCATAAGAGATAGATGAATTGATCTGCCCTATCCAATCAATATCCTCCGTTAGATCCAAAACTTAATCTAATCATGCGTGTTAAGTATTTTAGGAACACTACTTAAGGAAACACAAAAAATTAATATTTATTTATTTATAAAATAATATATATATATATATATATATATATATTTTTTTTTTTTAACGAAGAACAAGATGTGAATAAATACTTTGATAGCTTGTTTGCTTCTCTATTGGATTGGAGATAAGAGTAGCAAAAATATGTGAGAAACTCATTGAAATTTATATGATAAAATGCGCAAAAAAAATTATGTTTTAATTGAAGTTAATTCGAGGGATAAGAAGTATTAAATTATATTAATCTTATATTTAATATGTTCTTTGATTGATTGTTCATCTATGGGATTTCTATTTTGGTTTTCAGATTATCGATTCCCCAACAGTATTTAGGTTTAAGTTAACGTGTCATTCACATATGATGACAAGGAGAAGGAAGAAGGCAGAGAAGAACAGCACTCACAGCTGGGGTTGGTGAGCTTGAGGGTCCTGAAGCAGATGTCGTAGAGCGCCTCGTTGTCCAGCACCATGCACTCGTCGGCGTTCTCCACCAGCTGGTGAACCGACAGCGTCGCGTTGTACGGCTCCACGACCGTGTCCGACACCTTGGGCGAAGGGAACACCGAGAACGTCATCATCATCCGATCCGGGTACTCCTCCCTGATCTTGGAGATCAGCAGCGTCCCCATGCCCGACCCCGTCCCCCCGCCCAGCGAGTGGCAGATCTGAAACCCTGTTCGCCACCACGCGCGAGTGCAAGCAGCAGATTAGCTAGTCTCACGCGGAACAAACGAAAGAGACGATCTAGCTAGCATTGCGCGCAGACCTTGGAGGAGGTCGCAGTTCTCAGCCTCTTTGCGGACCACGTCGAGGACGGCGTCGATGAGCTCAGCGCCCTCGGTATAGTGGCCCTTGGCCCAGTTGTTGCCGGCACCGTTCTGGCCGAAGACGAAGTTGTCGGGGCGGAACAGCTTGCCGTAGGGGCCGGTGCGCACCGCGTCCATGGTCCCCGGCTCCAGGTCCATGAGCACCGCCCGCGGCACGTACCGGCCACCGCTGGCCTCGTTGTAGTAGACGTCAACGCGCTCCAGCTGCAGCCGGGAGTCACCGACGTAGTCGCCCTTGGCGTCGATGCCGTGCTCGTCCGACACCACCTCCCAGAACTTGGCCCCGATCTGGTTGCCGCATTGGCCGGCCTGGATGTGCAGGATCTCCCTCATGGCTGATCTTAATACAACAACGTAGGATCGAGCTACTCAGAACTCGACCTCGTTGTCTGTGGTGCCTCCAAGCTTGCACGACCGACAAGAGCGAGACTGATCTATATATACGTCTAATATATGAGAAGAGATTAATACTGGAGAAGAGAAAAGAGAGGGAAATGGAAGGTAGGGAGAAAACTACGGGCTGAGAGAGACGAGGAAAGCTTGCAAGAATCCTTGAAATAGCTATGGGCTTATATATTAAAGACATAGAGAGAGAGAGAGAGAGAGAGAGAGAGAGAGAGAGAGAGAGAGAGAGTAGTAGTAGGTAA